CTCAAATGCCCGCCAGCATAGTCAAGCCCTTTTGAGAAGTCTTTCTGACTTGAAAGGCACAAAATAATAATAATCCTTGCATTTGATATAGTACCTTATCATATTGTTGAGACATCCCAAAGTGCTTCACAGGATATACTGTAAAGTGGACTGATTGTGATTTTTAGGGAACCAACAGCCATGGAATGAGTGACCAATTTTTTTAATTATATAACTATATTGTAGCATACTGCATAAAGTCTTTATGTAAGGATTAAGGTCTTAATGTAAGTATTAAGGATTACTTTTTAAACCACAAAGCAAATTTAATTGCATACCTAAGTAACAATTAACTGATCAGCTGGTTACAGTTATTGGGTTTATTATTATGTAAATTGTCAGAACCAGCAGGAATACTGTAGACCACTACCATGGTGTATGCTGTACATCATTTACAATGGAAGGATACATTGGAAAGATTTTTTTCCTTGTCACCACACATTCAATGTGTTAACATACAGTTACATGTCTAAATGTTTTCCACATTGCCATCACTATACTATGATTAAATACTGTGTTAAACTTTATTCTGCAAGATTTTATCCAATGTGGTCAATGAGAAGTAATCATTTAGTTGTGATGTCTGTGACTCCTAATAATCAGTTATTATCATTTGATTTTGTTACTCTATTTGTTTTGGTCAGTCAGGTGTATGATATGGAAACCCATCATCGTCCTTAAGAGTATCCAAACTAGGCTGAGAGTTCCACATACGCTGGTAAATTTCCCTTTTTTGGATTGGAATGGAATGGACACCAGAGTGTGTGTTCAGGTACTGCTGGAAACAGGTGCTTTGCCTGTTCGCGTCTGCGCTCGTGTTTGCGCACTCGCCTGCTCACATCTGTGCACATACTGACTGCCACATTCACTCACTACATTTTACAGTAAAATCCTATGAAGCATTTTGAATCATCCTCCAGACGTGAAAAGTCCCATATTAAAAGCAATAATTATTCACCGCACCCCTCGGAAGATCATATCGGTCATTCTAGGTGCTGCTGTTCAGTCAGCTGAACTGTCATAGTTAAATTAGTTGAAATAGTTAAACTTCCTATGAGATTATGTTAAAAAAACTAAAAAATGACGTATCTCGGAGTGGTCACATGGTTATAGTCAAATTGGGTGAAGTCAACTGCAAAAGCCAGCATCAAATAATTTATAAGCTTGATAAAATAAGTTTATCATTAAATTTCTGTATGCAGTGACATTATAAGTCTCCGGGTGGTTTGTGAGAGCTAAATTATTGCTGTCCAGCGCTTGGTCTTACCAGGCAGCTTTGCACTTTCATCATTGGTGGAGCCTGAGAATTGGATGTTAAGGGAGTATTCTTTTCTGTTTTCTCCTTGCACTCTTCCCGTTGAACACTGCTCTGTTCTGTACCTCAGAGCTATAGTCTTCTTTAATCTGATATTTACATGGGTCCGCAATAGATTTTAATGTAATAAAAGGTATCTGATGAATAACTGAATCTGATTTCTGGGTCAAAATAGCTTGTTAACACCTTGTTTGCTTAATAAAAGCTATCTTAGCTTTGCCTACAATTGTAGTCAGAACACTTACAGTATATCCCGTGACGAGCTTTGAGATGCCACCCAGTGTGAAAGGCGCTATACCAAATATGAGGATTAATATTTTATAGACCTGTTTCCCATCTTACTAATAGGAAATAAGATGTTGCTTTAGTGACATTTGCCACTATCAGCATCTTGAATTTTGCAAATGTATTAATAGACACCTCTTTAAATGGGACCCAACTTATATGTAGTTCCTGGGTTGGTTCAAAGACAAGCAGAAAAATTGAGGAACTGAAGGGGGAAAAAAACTCTGCATGAGCCAGTCAGGCTGTGTGCTGGTGCATGCACTTCTCTAAACCTTCCTTCCACATTTTTCTTTTTCTTTAAAACCATAGCATGAGGAGTTACACATAAATAGGCAGTTAAAATCACTATGAACATCAGGGATTCCTACATAAGACTCATTTCTACAGCACATGGTTCATTTACTCACTGAGCCATGGGGAAATGTGAAGCTCTCAGTGTTTTCCTTTCATTTGATGGTTTTGCTCAGTCGGGTCAGCTAAGCTTGAAATGGGAGACAGGAGACAGGTTTACTGGTGCACAATTCAGGACATATACTGACAATCATTCCACATTTAGGATATATCCTGGTGTTTTCTCCGGCATCATGCTATTCTCCGATTCAAGTTATAGGGTAAAATAATCCATCAAGGATACAGCTCGGCACACACAATCTGTGACTGGTATGAAGCGGGTGAGAGAAGATAACTAATTTCATCCAGTGTTGAACCAACAAGACAAAGCATTCAGGTCAAATAGTCCTGATATCTATATCATGTTTATTGATCATGGATGCAGTGTTCATCTACAACATTTTTTTGAAGTAGGTATTCAGACACAATAGTTACCTGAGAATTTTGACATCATACTGCTAATATCTTAGCCTAAATCATTGCTGTGTATGGTAACAATTGCAGTCCTAATACAGATCACGGCAGAACACCACTTCCTACTTCTTGCCATGCGAAGTTTCCTCCAAGAGTAAGAGAAAACCCCTACTTTATTTTCTATCCATCTCTCTATCCATTCCCCCATGACTACACATGACCTGATTATAGAAATGAGTCTCTTACGTGGAGCCTTATTAAAGATTTTATTCAGTCTGGATCCACAAAACCAGGCCTTACATTCCCTCTCTGCTAAACCCATGGTTCACAATCAAAGAATCATAGGATATTACAGCAAGGAAAGAGGCCATTCGGCCCATTCTGCCTGTGCCGGCTCTTTGGAAGAGCTACCCAATCAGTCTGACTCCCCTGCTCTTTCCTCATATCCTTGCAAATTTTTCTTTTACAAGTACCAATCCAATTCCCTTTTAAAAGTGATTATTCAATCTGTTTCCACCAGCCTTTCAAGCAGTGTATTCCAGACGGTAACAACTCTCTGTGTAAAAATGGACGAATTGTGAATGAATTCAGGTAGAATAATTACACAATTAAACATAATATAATAACACATATAAGCATTTAATTCCTAGGAAATTAACTATTTGGGTCATTTTAATGAAACATCTTTCTCGTCTCCGGGATAGCATCCGAAAAAAGAAATTTACATGTGCTTTAGATGCAAGTGAATTTCAAAAGCTTCAAGTGGCCTACTTCTGTCAAGCCAAGTTCACAATAACTAAAAACAGACAAAAAATCTCTGCCGCACTGTGAAGCTCATGAACTTTAGCACTGGCTTTGTAGATATAAAGATACTGAGAGGCATAAAAGATACAGCACAACATCAAAGCATCACAAGCTAATGTACTGTACACACAGGTTTATGTTAATCAAAAATTATTTGGACACGAATGCATGTCTACAAATCTTTCTGATGTAAGTGAGTTGTAGGGAAGAAATTCCACGAAGTTTTTCAATTTTGTTAACATTTCAGAGAGTCTAGAATTTGGCAAATTGTTGAAACCAGTCTTAATTTTGAGGCCAGTATATTGTAGTTCACAAAAGGACTTTTAATATGATTAAGGGATGTGACAAATTCTTGATGACCTGAATTGCTGCATAAATCAGGTAAATCTACACCCAGGTAGAATTTCTCCCTCCAAATATCAAAAAAAAAAATGCTCCAGGCTAGCTGACTTAATTAAGATGGCATCAAAAGGCTTTTGTAACACTTTCTAATATTTCAGTGTATAATAATGTATAAAATAAAATTTTAAATGAAATTACTAATAGTCACAATGGCCTGAAACTGTCCTGGAAATAAAGTGCCTGATTTGCAATTGAATTTGTAATTGGTGTGCCCACCTGGCTCAGTTGGTAGCACTCTTGCCTCTGAGTCAGAAGGTTGTGAGTTCAAGTCCCATCTCATGACTTTGACCTTACATAATCTAGGTTGAAAAATCAAATATAGTGCTGGCAGTGGACTGCATTGTTGGTGGTGTTATCCTTGAATAACATTAAACTGAGGTCTTCTCTGTCTATTCAGGTGGGCTTTAATGATCCCAAGCCACTATGTGGCCTACTCTACATCCCCTGCCCGGCCTGCCCCACCCTCGGCGGTCGGGCTTCAGCCTTTCTGCCCCCAACCTATGAAACTCCATCCCACATTCCCTTCGCCTCGCTCCCTCCCTTGCCTCCTTCAAGGTGCATCTCAAAACCCTCTCTTCGACCGCGCCTTCGGCCACCCTCCCCTCCCCGATGCTGACCCCCAGCTCGGGTCCAAATCCCCAACTGGGACGTCCTCCCGACGTGAAAGCCGTGATGCAAATGTAATTTTGTATTGTATTGAATAAGAGAAGTTTCTCTGGGGGTCTTGGCAAACAACCCCCCAGAAAAAAAACATCATTCACTTACTCACTTACTTACTTACATCCTGTAAGGCTGACTGACTGACTGACTGTCTGTTGGCTATCCTGTGCGCAAACTGACTGCTCTAACTGCTCGCAAAATAGTCGCGGCGCTTCACAGCAACCGCTTGCGAAGCACTTTCGAGACATCCTAATAATAATCCCTAACAAAACAAGACAATAGTAAATTGGTCATTTTCAATCCACGACTGTTTGCGGGACATCGCTGTGCGCAATTGGCTGCCGCGTTCGCCCACAAATATATAGTCGATTCACTTTACAGTGTGTTCTGTGCAGCGCTTTGGGACATCCTCCCGACGTGAAAAGCCCGATATCAAATGCAAGGATTATTATTATTATTATTATTATTATCCTCTCGACCGTGAAAGAGACGCCCTGGATAGCAAGTGCAGGGATTATTGTTATTTATTATGAGGATTTCTGGATTGCACCACGTGCACATCTTGGTTCCCAAACCAAATCTGGTGTGTGTGGGTGTGTGTGTGTATGTGTGGGTGTGTGTGTGTGGGTGTGTGTGGGGGTGTGTGTGTATGTGTGGGGGGGTGTGTGTGTGTGGGGGGGAGGTCATGCGCCACGCGCGGTGGGGCGCCCCGCAGGGCTGGAGCTATGAAGAGACACGTGGTGTTGACGGGGCCGCCAGGTACACCTTCACAGTCACTACACTGAACTCAGCCCTCACGGCCTCTCTCTCACACACACAGAGGGGGGGGGGAGAGGCCGGAGCTCGGCTGCTGTCTGTCTGCCTGAGGGCCGCTCGGGCTCACCCCCACCCCCAGGCCTCGGGCCCAGGGCCGCGCTCAGCCTCCGCGCGGCGCCGAAATCCTCCCCCAAAACACAGCGACGAGCGGGTGGGCGCACAGGGCCGCGGGCAGCCCAGTGCCCGGCACCGCGGGGCCTCACAGGGCCGCGGGCAGCCCAGTGCCCGGCACCGCGGGGCCTCACAGGGCCGCGGGCAGCCCAGTGCCCGGCACCGCGGGGCCTCACAGGGCCGCGGGCAGCCCAGTGCCCCGCACCGCGGGGCCTCACAGGGCAGCGGTCAGCCCAGTGCCCGGCACCGCGGGGCCTCACAGGGCCGCGGGCGGCCCAGTGCCCCGCACCGCGGGGCCTCACAGGGCGGGAGGGAGGGGCCGCTCACTGTCACTCTCATTCACTCACTCACTCACTCACTGTTGAGCAATTGCAGCAAAGGAGCGGCAGCCTATACCCCCCCCCCCCCCACCCCCCTGCTGTGACTGACTCTGGGGTGGCAGGGCTGGCGGGGTGAGCATGGCTGGTGGGATGGCAGGGCTGGTGGGTGGCAGGGCTGGTGGGTGGCCGGGTGAGCATAGCTGGTGAGGTGGCAGGGCTGGCGGGGTGGCAGGGCTGGCGGGTTGAGCATGGCTGGCGGGATGGCAGGGCTGGTGGGATGGCAGGGCTGGCGAGGTGGCAGGGTGGCCGGGTGAGCATGGCTGGCGGGGTGGCAGGGCTGGTGAGGTGGCAGGGTGAGCATGGCTGGCGGGATGGCAGGGCTGGCGAGGTGGCAGGGTGAGCATGGCTGGCGGGATGGCAGGGCTGGCGAGGTGGCAGGGTGAGCATGGCTGGCGAGGTGGCAGGGTGAGCATGGCTGCCGGGATGGCAGGGCTGGCGAGGTGGCAGGGTGAGCATGGCTGCCGGGATGGCAGGGTGAGCATGGCTGGCGGATGGCAGGGCTGGCGAGGTGGCAGGGTGAGCATGGCTGGCGGGATGGCAGGGCTGGCGAGGTGGCAGGGTGAGCATGGCTGGTGAGGTGGCAGGGTGAGCATGGCTGGCGGGATGGCAGGGCTGGCGAGGTGGCAGGGTGAGCATGGCTGCCGGGATGGCAGGGCTGGCGAGGTGGCAGGGTGAGCATGGCTGCCGGGATGGCAGGGCTGGCGAGGTGGCAGGGTGAGCATGGCTGGCGGGATGGCAGGGTGAGCATGGCTGGCGGGATGGCAGGGCTGGCGAGGTGGCAGGGTGAGCATGGCTGGCGGGATGGCATGGCTGGCACTTTAATGTTGGGCATGTGGTGGAACTGGATCATGTCTGTGTCAGTAAGAGAACGTGTGTGTCCCCGGAGTGAGGTTTGGTGCCACACAACCCACCCAATCCCACTCTCTCTGTCTGTCTGTCTGTCTCTGATAGTAATAATCCTTGCATTTGATATAGCGCTTTTCACGTCGGGAGGACGGCCCAAAGCGCTTCACAGAACACACTGTAAAGTGAATTGACTGTATATTTGTGGGCGAACGCGGCAGCCAATTGCGCACAGCAATGTCCCACAAACAGTCGTAGATTGAAAAGGACCAATTTATTATTGNTTTTTGTTTTGGAGGGATTATTATTAGGCTCTGTGTGGAGTAAGGAAACTTGCCCAAGGTTTCGCCCTCTGCCTGGAATTGAACTCGGGTCTCTCGCTTGCAAAGCGAGTGCTCTAACCACTGAGCTACAGGACTCCACTGTAACACTGCAGTCTGCCCTCTGTACAGTTGTGGAGAGTGACAAGGCTGTAATCAATTCAAAGAGTTCACATGGTTTAAACTGCAAGAGGGAAACTCATGCAGTTTATAAACGTCGCCTCGAATTATAGCTTGAAGTCACCTTCAGGCATTTCTTATTATTTGTAATGTTTACTGTTGCGGATTTTCATGGTGAGAGCTTATTACGTCCCGGGTCAGATTTTTTTTGTTGCGCTGCCAATGCAAGTAATGATGTGTTGACAGCGTGCCCCACACGCAGCGGGCACCGAGCGAGTATTAATAATTCCAATGTCATGGTCAGATTTATTCAAAAATCCGAACTTTACGATCACTTTCAAAGCTCCACGGCCTCGCCCAAGCCTCGCTCTGTGATCCTATCACCCCCTGGTCGCTCACACTGGCCTGCTTCTGCCCCACCATGGTTGGACAAGCTTGTAGGCATTCTGCCCCTGAGTTCCTGCGCCTTGTCCCTCCTTTCCACCTTAAGATCTATCTCTTCATTGGACTCTCTTCCCCCAAACCCCCCCCCCCCCCCCCCCCTCAATTCAGGCTCCAAGTCAACTGTATAATGTGCTTTTAGATGTCATCCCAATGTGAAAGACTCTATATAAATATAAAATTGCACCTTAGGTTCGGTATATATTTAAGAACACAAATCACAGATGTAAAAAAAGTCTCTTGGCTCACTGAAGAACTAATCTCACAAATAAATTAACTCCTATCATAGCTTCGAATTTTACTTTGAATAAAAACAATGCTTTTCCATTTGTTGTTTGGCAGATTATTCTAAAAATTCATCATTCTTTTGAATAAAGAAGTCTTCTTTCTAAATATACGTTTCAACAAATGTTATAGTTTTTAGGAGCTGGAAATTAGATTGGCTTTTTAATACCCCTATGTGAAGATGCTACATAAGTTCCAGTTGCTGTTATAACGACATTAACAAGATCAAGAGTGGTCTCATTGGACCATGTAGGAACTTCATTTAAGTTTAAAGCGTGTCTGAAATTGGCTGGATTAAAAGACAATTTAAAGTGGTAGTTCCAGTTGCAGGGCTTGGAATTGAATCAATGTCCGTAAAATTAGATTTATGCTACATCTGTTACATCTGTTTATCTGGGAAGAGCATTGACTTGACACTAAGTGTGATCTGACCAGTGCATCGTAAAGCTTTAGTGTAATTTCTGTAGGCTGTGTTCTGGCTATATACCCCAGCATTGTTTTTGTGTTTTTAAATTGCTTCAGCACATTGTCTGGACATTGAAAGTGACATGTTTACTATTGCTCCCAGCTCCTTTCTAAGTTGCCCTGCTCTAATTTTATTCCATTCATTGTATACCGCTGCCTCACATTTGTTTCTCCCCTATATCTAATACTTTAGATTTATCATAGAAAATTTTCCATTTTAATCGTTCATTTGATTAACCCAGCCTTTGACCTGCGCTTGCTAGGTGGATATTTTGAATGGATACATTTTGTGAATAAAATTGAAATGGTTGTGATTTAATAAATGGATAGAATGACAAAAGATATGGTGGTGACCTGTTATTGCAACAGTGGAAACCCAACATGAAAAAGTTTGTTTTGAGTTACAGCAACACACCTGTTCTTGTTCTCCTTCTGTCTCTCCCTCTCCTCACCCCCGTAGAGGTGAATTCCCCTTGTCTGGGACAAAGGACAGCTTTGTGGTGTGTTCACATTAATAGTTTGACATCCACTTTTACAAATTATGACCTTAAGAGTGATGCCGCGTTTCACCCACAACTATACAGTCAATTCACTTTACATATATTCTGTGAAGCACTTTGAGACATCTATAAGACCGTGAAAAGCGCCATATCAAACGCAAGGATTATTATCATTATTATATGGTAAAAGGCTCGATAGAAATGTCTGCAGACTGAACAGTCCCACCCTTCCAGTTGAGGAGAGTAGTGTGAGGAAAGAGCAGAAAATCCTGAAAATTACTCACCCCTGTTTAAAAATTGTGTTGTCCTCATCTGAAGTTTCTTCTTGTGACTAGCCTGAATTAAGCTACTTTTAGAAAGGCAAATGACCTATAATACAAGCTGCCTTCATTTCCACATGAGCTACAACGAGTCAGAACACATATGTAATTAGTTTTATCGCTATTATCAATATTCTTCCTCAATCCCTGCACTTTAGTTACGAGAAATATAAAGTATTGCAAATGGGGTAGAAAAAGAGTCACTCTTGATAGTTATTTAATTGCTAACATTTTAATTGGGCTAGCAGTGTTTTTCTTAAATATCTTGTGAAGTTCAGCCAATTGTTTTAGGGTAAGAGCAAGCAAATTGTAATGCACCTTTTCCCGACAAGTTGGGTAGGTTTCCAGCTCTTTTATCGATGTAACTGTGTGAGGGATTGCATGGAGATTGGAGGTGAGCCAACATTGTAGTAGCACCATTGTGATCTTTTTGTTTAATGGAATACATTTATTTGATAATAATTTGGGGGTGGATGGAAAGCATATCATGTAACCATTAGACAAATATCCATCGATGAGTCAGTGGATATTTGTCTAATGGTTACATGATATGCTTTCCAGTACTGTGTTATTTAAAAGGTGAGTTGTATGTTGCTGCTTCAGTGCTGTACTATTCTGTGACAGAATAGTAGGATGCAGTTTCCTACTATGAGCTTGGCAGTGCTGCCAGGGGGAAGGTGTCAAGCAGAGGCTTGTCATGTTTCCACAGGAAAGGAAAGTCAACAGCAACTTACTTTGCAGTAATTCTGCTGCAGAGCTGATCTTATTTACAGAGCAGAACTAGCAGAGACTTGAGAGCAGGACTGGCAGAGACCTGAGAACCATTCGCTGGTGGACAGCATAGAAGGCCCCAAAATCAGAGCCCACTCATCTGATTGTTGAGTGGGTAAAGTACTGCATTTTATTTAAATTCTGAAAAACATATAACCAGTAAAATAAGTGTGCAGAAGTTTGTGTTGAGGGTATTTGTAATGTCCACATAATGTATAACATTCAAATTGTTCCAAGGATTTCGTTTTTCATGTAAAGCTGAAAGACTTGCAGCTTTTCTTTCAAAAAAAATCTGAAAGCAGTTCATGTGTGTATTGAAAGTTTAAGAGAATGTCACAAAGAATTCAGAAGTTTGTCATTCTGATGGTCGAGCTGGTAGTGTCAGCA